TGGGGACTTGGTCAAATTTAAATCATATGAGTGATGTTGACTAGTTATCCTCCATACGTCTTGGTTCATTTATATTATATTAATTTAGTACGTCTTAATGAAAATTGAACGAACATATTAGTCATTTTATAATATCATTGCTTGTGATTATTACGCTTTTGTTTGTTTGTTTTTATGGTAATGCATGTATATATAATATATATGCACTTTTAGATTGATAAATTAAAAACATAAGATGTCGTATGATTGACAATGAGACAACTATCCACCAGAGTTCAAATGATGTAAATGTAAACAATCATAGGTCACCGCAAGGTCTTCAACAATGAGAAAACTCCATACCGTAAAGAAGCTATAAAAGACCCCGACATGAAAAATGTGTAACAATTGAAACGAAAAAACTAACGGCCCTACTTACAACAATTAAATTTACGGAAAAATTATATATGACAGACATGAACAAACGACAATCACTGAATAACAGGCTCCTGGGTGCTTTCGGTGATAAAGCTTTACTCAGTACTCGGAAGTACAAGATTGTGCTCGACACACCAAATCCAGTATTTTGATTGGTTGGTTTTTTATTCTGAGGACGATAATCGTGCTCAACATTTTTATGACCGCAAGGCCTGACTTGGGACAGGCACATTAAGAATGTGACGTGGTTAAATATGTTTGTGAGCGCTAACCTATAGCTAGGACACCGGTACTTTCTTTTCCACTCCCGCCCAACCGCAAGGCGATTTCATTATATATACATTTTTTTAAATTAGACCGTTTTGTTTTGTGTGTAACTCGTCCAAAAGTTCTGACATCTATTTAACCCCCTGTAGTTAAAAGCTGAGTCGCAATTGACTTTGAAAACACAAAAAAAATATACTAGGTATAAATACTATTCTCAAATACTGTTTATTTTTAGTAATTATTTTTCTATAGATGTTTTATTAATTAACTAGTAATTAGATTATTGCCAGTTTACATAATTAGTACATGCAGTAAAGGAGCTATCAATTATGGTATAGAATTCCTGTGAGTATTATCTAGTCCTAGGTAATAATGTTGAGGGTTGTAATCCATAAGACAACGACCCACAATACGTAGTAAAATTGGTTAAATTTTGTGTTTCCATTTTGTAGATGAGTTGACATCCCTTATAAATAGCTTTAATTCACAAGAGTGGTTAAAGGGATTTGTTTTAATCATCCCCGGCTCCTTTTTCTCTGCTTCCCTTCTATCCGCCTTCAAGATTCATTTCCTGTCTGCAAACCCTTGTCCCTATAAGTGTTCCAAATGAAAAAGAAATATTATGGAATGTATAAATGTTTATTCCTCATGAAATAAATGCTATTGGATATTCTTTCCATAAGGAATAATGATATGCGTAATTAAACTGTCTATGATTATGTTTCCAAAGAGACATCTTTTATATGGAACAACTATACGTTGACACTTCATTGATACACAGTTGAATTTAAATCTTTTTATCACTTTTGTATTTTGATACGAAACCCACATTTAAAGTCTAATTTGTCAACCTCAGCGTCGAGTATATATCATCTCGTAACAGCTCTATATTATTAGCCGGACTTGCACTTCGAGAACCGTCACAAAAAGTATAGGCCATTAGAAAAAAAAGTATTTCGTTTCACCAAAAAAAGATATGACCAACGTTTAAAATAATGCCTACTTTTGGCATTGGCAAATGAACAATCAACACTGAAATAGAACCGTGGAGATGCTTGATTTGTTTGTTTGTTTGCTTCACCAATTGTTTGGTGTTTATTGTGGGCATTTCCTTCAATTTTAGTTAGTATTCCAGTCAGTATTCCTTGGGGGAGGGGATGGGGGTTAGAAGGTGGTGTCACCTGGGAAAATAAACGCTGAATCCCGAATATCCCCCAAAAAAGCATTCTTTCCCAGATCCCCAAAAATCAATCATTAACTCCCGAGTCCCATAAGTGTAGATTCCATATTAAATCAACGGTTTTTGACGATAACACTTTTTTTGTGGCATTATGTTTCTCAATCTTTCGTTTCCTGTAGAGTTGTGTGGACTGTTGCATGTTTTTTTTTCTTTCTATCTCTCTCTCTTTCTTTTTTTTTTTTTGGGGGGGGGGGGGTGTTGTCGGTAATTATTTGTATCTACTTATCTCTACTGAAACGTTAAGCAATCATAAAGTATTGCTGTGATGTTGTTTTCTTCCATTTTTCCAATTACTTTAACATTTTTCTCTTTTTCAAACAAAATTTTTAAAAAATACAATTCACACGGGAACATGTGTGCCTTCATTAAAAATCAAAATGTCATATCATAATTCAACGTTTATATATGTTTATGTTTGACTAAATATTGACTTATCTTCCAAACTATTGACTTGTTTTGTATCGTGTCTATAATCTGTGTATCCAACGTGTAAACGTCTTGATCAACGATTTATACTGAACAACGACAATAAACAATGTGTTGAGGAAACTTTTGCTTTAACTATAATATGTCGACCCATATAAACATAGCTTTCATTACCCAAATATAACGTGGACAACCTGACATTTTGTTTTTAAAATTTAATAACACTCATTCTAAAAACCTCTTATTTGATTTCCTTAAAATTTGATTCGAGCGCTACTGACGAGTCTTATGTAGATGAAAATGAAAAGCGCATTTGGCGTACCAAATTATCAGCCTTTATTATTTACACAAAGTATGGTTAACAGTTTCTGATCTATTCATGAGACTTCCTAGTATTGTAAAAATTACATGGATAACATACTTATTTTGTAAGAAGATGTACGTTCCTCAAGTCAGCGTTATTAATCACGTTATTGTTAAAAGAGAGGCGAAAGATTCCAAAGGGATATTCAAACTCATAAGTCAATTATTAACTGACAACGCCATGGCAAAAAAAAGACAAATACCAAAAGACAAACAACTGTATTCAAAACACAACATCAAAAACTAAAGACTGAGCAACACGAACCCCCCTAAAGACCGGGTGTGTTCTGAGGTGCTCCGAAAGGGTAAGCAGATCCTGCTCCACATGTGGAACCCGTCGTGTTGCTCATGTAAGTACAAATCCGGTGATAATTCTAATGCGGTAGGTCACATTTGGGGAAAAGGAGGACAAGATTGTGGAACATATCCGTCGTCATCTGTGATACTGATATTCCATAACGGTCAACGAACTCGTGATGTCGTCGGTAAAATTTCGAGGGATGATTTCAACTTCACCACTTGGAACTCTTGGTTTAATAGCTTCCTTGTGAGCAGCAACCCTCTATCAAGGAAATCATTATAGGAAACGGAAGGCCTGGAATATTGTATCAACTGGGAGATATCTACTTCATATGCAGGCGCTGCTGGAATATGTTGCTACATAGAAATGGAAAGTTCACAATTGGAAGCTGAAATCATTTCTTTTGTTGTAAAGTTTTGTTTTCAACCGACCCTCATTGTCAATATTAAGATGTAAGTCAAGATATGAGGCAGAATTAACTATATCTGTCTAAATCGTCTAACATCTTTATATAACACAAAAAGGCCTATACAGACCAGACTAAATCGTCTAACTTATTTATATAACACAAAAAGGCCTATACAGACCAGACTAAATCGTCTAACATCTTTATATAACCCTAACGGGCTTATACAGACCAGACTAAATCTTCTAACATCACTATATAATCCAAAAGGGTCTATACGGACCAGACTAAATCTTCTAACATCACCATATAATCCGAAATGGCCTATACAGACCAGACTATATCTTCTAACATCACTACATAACCAAGGAGGGCATACATACAGACCAGTCTGAGAGTATAAAACCAAATAGCATATACAGACCAGCCCTAACCGTCCAACATCAATTTTGTCTGAGAGTATAAAGCTGAGGCATTTGCAACCCTACTTTTAGTTCAGTTCAAGATTTATTAACAGGAAATTTACAATTACAAACTTTCATTATATAAAGTTGATATTGACACTCTATGGTACAGGCTTTAAGTCACTCTTATATGACATACACTGTTAACCTGCATATGAATGTTCAGAGATTATTATGTAAGATATTGTGAAATTGAAAATCCCGCGAAAAGTTGAAAACAAAAGTGGTTACAACATGCCAGCGCAGGTGTATAAAGAATAAGCAACAACCGATAGATGTAAACAAAAATAAAGGATGAGGAGGGGGTGTATTTCGACTGTCAATGAAAAATGAGGTTATATTGAATAGAGACAAAATTTTGACTTACAACAGGCCATCTACCGACTTCAGGGATGACCATATTGTATACCTCAGTCAGCACATGAGGATTGTGAAGAATGTACAAACTAAAAATAACGATCTGGAATGATATTGGGAGCATCTAGTGGTTGGCATATCTTGCTTAATAATTAAGTTTAAAATACGTCACATCCGATTAAAAAATTGTAATTACTAGTATGCCACTCACCTTGTATTTATACATATCGCACAGCAAAACGGATGTAACTCTTTAGAAAAGTTTCTGTGTCAGTCAGTAATCGTGCTCTCACAAAGAAGTCATAATTTAATTTATGCAAGCCATTTATTTCAGAATCAACTCTGGAACCTTAACAATATTGAATATTTGACGCAGGTACGAGACCACTAAGGAAGGGAAATTCACTATTAGGAAATTGGAATCAATTCAAAAATAAAAACTGACTTTGATGTGTTTGTAGATGACGAGCTTAATATTTTGTAATTTTGTATAACACTACTATTTAAAGACCGTTTATATCGTGAGCTAAGAATTAAAGACTGGGCTTATTTCTTAAAAGTTTCTTAAGCTGCATTATATCTCAGCTTTCGGTATACACTTCAGACACTATATAAATAGTGTGCCACTATTAATCCATCATTCTGTCTCTGAGAAGGTCCTTCAAGGGCCGAAATCGTGTATACCGTATGAAACCAATCGCTTCGCATAGCATTGCAATTACACTTGATTAAATAAGCTCCAAAGTAATGTGCCCGGTTTGTTCGTACTAGAAAATTGACAAATAAAAATACATCAAAGATAGAGGTACATGTGACTCGAAACACTTGTCATTGACATTAGTTCACCATTCAAATAAATCTGTTTTATTTTTTGAAAAGAAGTTAACTGTTTGCGCTGCATCCCTTACTCTGAATATGGTTCCAGTAACCCAATGTATTAGTATGTTTGCACCCAGCTGGTCCTCCATTGTGCATCCGTGCATAACTCTCACAGTTATGTTGGCATCCATAATGATTGATGTACCTGGACATATAGTGTTGGACACACTGAGAAGCACAATGTTTATCTTTGGAGCATGCTTCTAAACCTGTTTGGAATAAAAAATCAGTTTAGTATACATGTTCGTCTTGGTATTCATGATAAACAACTTCTTGTTACGTTTTATAACCCCACCTCGGCGGAGGGGTATTAAGTGTTACGCTTGTCCGTCCGTATGTCAGTACGTACGTCCCAAATTTAGTTTCCGTTTTCTAACTTGAGTTTGTCTCAACCAAATGTTATGACACTTATACAAAATGCATATTACCATAAAACACAGAGCAAGGGCCATTTGTAGAAGAAACTAAAATGTAAAGAAGGTGTTATTCTGTAATTAGAAAAAAAAAATAGAGTGCACACGAGAAATGTCTCAACTGCTTTACTTATCATGATTAAATGTATGTTGAAAGTATGTAATATGAAGGTTTTACTACATTAAGTATCACACAAACTTATCATAATCAAAAATTAATGTAAATGAGGTGATGGTCAGATCCTGAAAGACAAACAGACATGTACACTTTACAATCATACTGTACACGAAATATAGTTTGCCTATTAGCCTTTTGCTAATAATATCTGAGAAACAGACCTACTTACAAAAATTGAACATTGACCAAGGAACTATGAAAATGAGGTCAAGGTCAGACAATATGTACAACATGCAAACATTCAATAAACCAAATGTAGTGACATATTGGTCATAGTATCTGAGAAACATATCAAGTTCAGATGAACCCTGCCAGACAGACATGTATACCTTACAATCATTCCATACACTTGACCTATTGCTTAAAATATATAATAAACAAACAAAACAATGAAACCCTTGACCAATGAACCATGAAAATGAGGTCAGGGTCAGATTAACCCTGACAGACAAACATGAACAACTTACAAAAATTCCATTGATGATCAAAGGGTATGTCAAAGAACGTCTATTTCTTTTTCTAAAATAAAAAGTTCATCGGAAGATTCCAAGACCTTGTTGATAAATATTCCGTATCAACTTCACAAATAATACATGATGGTCTTGAAATGTAAATTATATCAAATGACGTTGTTTATCGTCTAAATTACGTGTTATAGTGTTCTTTTTTATTTGTCTTTGTATATTTTTAACCTTTATTGTTTGGTCCATTTTGGTAATATCCTTTTGGCGTGGCTCGGTATTTATACATCCCGCCATTGTGTTATTATGTTATGGTAATTTTTTGTATTCTTGTCTTTCCTTTTTACTTATGTGCTTTGTCTATAGAGTGTCTTTATGCCTTTTGATCTTCTTTGTTGACATAGTTGTTTGTTTTATAGTCTTTAAGATTATAACACAATGTTGACTGCTGTACCCCAATTCTTTTTTACATACAATGTCTGTTAGTTTTGCTCACACATTGTTGTCAATATAATGGAGTTTTATGTGACTGTAATACAAGTGAGAGGTTTAGCTAGCTATAAAACCAGGTTTAATCCACCATTTTCTACATAAGGAAATGCCTGTACCAAGTCAGGAATATGACAGTTGTTTTCAAATCGTTTGACGTGGTTGAGATTTAAATTTTACCATTTAATAAGGGACTTTCCGTTTTGAATTTTCATTGGAGTTCGCTATTTTTTTATTTTTTTTTCATTTTACTTCATTTTCAATACACCAAATTTAGTTTATATATTGCTTACAATGTCTGATGAACGGACAAAGAAATGAAAACTTAACATTGACCAATGAACCACGAAAATGAGGTCAAAATCAGATGAAACCTGCCAGACATACATGTACACTTTACAATCATTCCAAACATCAAATATAGTTGTCCTATTGCATATAATATCTGGGAAATAGACCAAACTTGAAAAAAAAAACGTAACATTGTCCATTCAACCATGAAAACGAGGTCAAGGTCAGATGAAACCTGCTATTCGGACATGTACTCCTTACACTTATTTTATACACCAAATATAGTTGACCTATTGGGTATAGAATCTGAGATGTGGACCTGACCATGAAAACTTAACCTAGGTCAATGATCCATGAAATGAAGTCGATGTCAGGTGAACTTTTTCTGACGAACATGTTGACCTTTCAAGGATCTCATATACCAAATATAGCTATTCTTTTACTCATAACAAGTGAGTATTTCACATATGACAAAAACATTTTTGTCAAGCAGTCGCTGAATCATGAAAATGAGGTCAAGGATAATGGACATTTTACAGACAGAAACTTCGTATTATAAGGCATCTGCATACAAGGTTTATGAGCATCCAGGTCGTCTACCTTCAGAAATAAAAAATGTTCAACAAATTGTTCACGCCATCGCCACCACCGCCGGATAGTAACTTTTATGTCGCGCAGAAAGTCGCAGGCGCAACGAAAATAACTTACTTCCCCCTGGTTTTCCACAGTCTTCCCAGTAAACCTGTTTTATTTGCATGTATCCACAAGAATTCGAATTCACGTCCCATTTGCAAGCCAGTGGTCTGCAACCGGATTCCAACTAAAATATGATACGACAAATATACATTTTTCTTAAAGTCAACGTCCTTCCTTACGAGGTCGTTGTAGTCAAGAAGCTAAGTCCAATTTTTCATCAGAATTCTGCAAAATGTGGTAAAAGCATCACACTTGGTATATAAGCTCCTAGCACCATTCTAAGCAAAATAAGATATGGAGCCAACCTGAAAAAAATCAACTTCCGGTTTTTTCCAAGATGGCGGACAAAATTTCAAAAATCCTAAACTAAATATCAAAGAAACCGTACACAAGGTGGTAAAACAATGAAACTTTGTATATTATCTCTTTAGACCCTTCTAAACGAATAAAAATATAAAACCAATATGAAAAACTATCAACTTCCGTTTTTTTCAAAGATGGCGGCTGAAATAACAAAAATGTTAAAACAAGTCAAAAGGAAGTTGCAATATATACAAACAAATTATATCAGATGAGTACAATTGAAAGTAATATATACAGTAGCTGTTATATGCAATAATACGTTCATTCATCTTGTTTGTGTCGGTAAACCCTATACTCGCTGCAGTCCATCAGGCACAATCTCCACCACACTGGCTTAAAGCTGTATTCGGAAGGGCGGATTTGAAACCCTTGCATTGTCCTCGACAACCTTTCTTGCATCCACAGTGAACAAGCTCCTGTAGTGAAGGGGTTGCCTCTGCCAATATTGTCCAGAACGGGTTCTTACATGCCGTTGTCTTGCTTTTTCCAACCATACAAGTCTGGGGATCGAAGATCAGACTGTAAAAGCAAACACTGTATCCAAATCAATCCAGCTTGGTACACAGAACGTTTGGCATGTTGGAAAAGTGCATCTCGTTTTGGTGGTACAGACTCGATTGTTCTACCTTTATGTACAAAGAGCACTTTTCTAGCTTCATTTACACTGTTTGATTCACTTATCCGATGGTACAAAAAATCAAAATATCGCTCCAGCAATGGTAGAATTGAATCACGGCATATTGTACTTGGTTGGTCTGGCATCTGTCTAAAAGCAGCTGATACCTCGGGGAAAGTATTCCATGTATCCCATGCTGTTTCTTTCTTCGTCTTTCAAATGAAGATACAATGTCGAAACCTGTAAAGGCGTGGAATATGGGTAAAAGCCTATATTTAAGAGAACCCAAAGATTGTGCAATATCATGAATAGGATTGTAACGGAAATGTTTCCCGGTTGCAACTGCTATCCATATCTCATCAGCTTCTGTGTCCTTAAATACAGATTTAGCTTACACAATTACGTCTGTATCCACAGTTTTAACGCTGATCTTTTTAAAACCATCCCTAAATGCATCTGCAACGTGAAGCATAACTCTCGTAACAGTTTTGTCGTGTTTGCACGGTTGCAGTTTTCATTTGTCTATGTGTGCCTGGTTTGAAATCAAATTCTCTCTAACTGTAACTGCTGCTTCTGCCAACCTTTTTCGATAGAAACTGAAACAGCTCCCTTTTATTCTCATCAACCCGTAGAAAGCCATGCCAGTTCTAAGGGATATTTGTTTGAGCTTGAACTCGCCTTCAAATTCCCTTCCCTCATTTTTCTCTGATTGCACTTTTGAGAATTGGATCGTTATTTAAAACGATACTGTACACAATAAATAAATTATATATTAGCCTAAAAATTAAACAAAACAACACCAATATTAAAAAGGGGAACAATAGATGCAAGTACATGTATCAATTAAAATTTAGGATAAAAGATATGTTTCATCAGCATGATGTAAAATGAATCATATCAATCAATTATTATTTTACTCATAAAAAAACAATAAATACAAATTACAAACCGAACCACGCTTTTACGAACCGCGAATTACACAAATTCGAATATTTCAAAGTTCATGCACACAGGTTAGTTTAGTATTTACAACAGAGAATTCAATGCGTACTTATGCGTCCAAAATGAATATCACTGTGTTTAATTAACGTTTTTTTCTTGGGCATTTATTTTTTATCATTCATCTTCAAGTCTTTGAATATTTGGAATAAAAAAGAAGCATGTGAACGGTTTTTTTGTTTTTTTGTTTTTTGTTTTGACACGTTGAATCTCTTTATAAGGAACCGAATGGGAAATTATGCTAGATATAAGAAGATGTGGTATGAGTGCCAATGAGACACATATATATATCTTATGATATGTTATGATATGTTTTGATTATACCAAACTGTAAAAATAATAATTTAATGCGTAATTTACACAGAGGATGGAAGAATTAAAAGTACGAGGCAACTGTAATAATAGTAGATGCAATGGAATTATTTTGTATCACACAAATCCATAAAACCAAACATCATTTAGATGTAACCAAATTATTCGCACAGCTTTTCATAAATAAGAAAACCAGCAAAATATACTTTTGCAAAAGAAATGGAAAAAATGATTTCATGTGTTCAAAACATACACAATTCATGAAATAAATGCAACATGGCATCGTGAGTAACGTGAAAAGGCCAATAACTCTTATTTCCATTTGCATGATTTGTCATCTGCTTTATGCATACTTACATCACAAATACACTGCATACAATGCTTGGAAACTACTCCTGAAATTAGCAACAAAACAATAGATTTATGCAGCTGTAATCTATAATAAAATTGGCTTAATTTAATGACAATATCCACGAAAATATATTTTCAGCAGTATTTTTACTATGTAAATGGTTGTCAAATTTATATTTATGGACAAGTCTAGGCCATAAAAAAGAATATGTTTGTTTGCCCTAACCCTACCTACCCAGAAAATATCTGCCTTCTCCAAATCTTTTATTGTCCTGATGTGAAAAAGTTTTTTTTTAATCAGATAGGCACGAAGACTAAAAAATATCTGACACTTCAATTCCTCTTTGCCGAAGAAAAAAAAAAGAAAACGCCTACCTACCTACCCACTGTCTCTACCTTTGGGTAAGGTTTGGGCAAACCAAAATATTTTTAAGTGTAGCCCTATAATTAATTCTACTCAGTCGGCCAATAAATCGGAACACAGCAATAATTTCTCGACTAGACAAAAATCTGAAAAGTAGCAACTATAATAATTGACGATATTTTTTTAATTATGGCAGGCTTAAACTAGTTTAGTGAGTATTCAATCAAAACGTAACAAAATAAGAACTCATGGAACAAAGAAATGTGTTCTATATCAAAAAGTATACCTGTTGCAAAAGTTCCACTATGTGTTGATATACTGCAATGAGATGCGGTTGACGTCTGCAGTAAACTTCCAGCTACGTACGCTAGCTATAGGAAAAGTTGAATCCATATATATTTTATAGATATATAATTTAATTTTGGATGTAACACGCCTTCTGATTGGCTGAAAGTGTTTTGTCTATCAGCTCATAGATTTAATTTTGTCATGTGACCGTGACGTCATCAACGTTTTTATCATGATTTACACCTTTTTAGAATTAAATTATAAGGAATGACTGTAATATGTTTTCTGTCTATTCGAAATAACCTAAAAAATGTGGTAAAAACTTTTAAATAACACGCTACGCGGGTTATTCAGTGTGCACCACATTTTTTATGTTATTTCTTCATAGACAGAAAAAATATTACAGTCATTCCAAGGCCGTAACTAGGCATATTATTTTAGTGAGTCAGAACTAATAGCAGAGCGAAGCGAGGCGAAAAATTTTGGCAGGGGGTCTGGGATAGATGGTGTAAAATCCTGCATTCTGGGCATTTACAGAGAGCTTGACATCGTTTTTATTTTTGGACACTTTTTATATATTTTTCATATTTTAAGACATGTACTAACACCAAATTTTTAACAACTTTATCTAAATTTATATGTCAGATAAACATCCAAATATCAATTTGAGTCTGCCGCCAGAACACAGAACAAACATCGACTCAGTAGCAATTGTTATTCAAATTGGAGTTTGCCAATTTTTCTATGGCCGGTTTCGTCAAATCGTTTCAGAATAATTGGTCTGCTGACCTCCTTATCGCGATGAACATGGAGCATGGCAAGACCCCACAGTCTCTCGCCACTCATGCATGCTCTTTCCCAAGTTTTCAGTCGTCTCAGGGCAGAAAAAAAACGTTCACAGCAAACACTCGTCACTGATATTTTAGATCGAGAATCGAATAATGAAGGGGGTAGGAGGGGGTCCGATCCCGAAATCCCATATTAAAAGAAACGAAATTCCGTAGTCCCGAATTAGAAAACACGAAATACCGTTTAAAAGGTCCTACCGTTCCTCAATAATGTCAAAATTGGATGACGGGATGTTCTTAAAAATTTTAAGGTAAAAGAAACATGGATAAAAACTAATCCATGCAGGTTTCATATTATTTATATTTTGTTTATCTGTAAAGAGAACGAATAAAGTTGGGGAAATGAATACGCAGGACTGCTACCGTGCGGGTGCCCAAGTACTTGATTTGTCAGTCTATTTATTGTTTTTGGATTAGTTCCATTGAAAATATATTCAATACTCGAACTCTTAACACCTGTTGTAATCACAAACAACATCTGTTAGTTCACTAGAACTATTCCTTCCTCACCTTCAGTATCGCTTTTCGTTTTTCTGCATGAGCCTGTTTTAACCAGAGATAGGATCCATGATGATTACCGTTACTAGGTTAATGTAATCGAGAAACCCGGTGAGATGTTTAAGAGCAATTTAAAAGGAACGATGTGACTCAAGTTATAGAAGAAATTAAGGTTGAGACAGAAAAAACAAATGACTATATTTCGTATTTAAATACCATAAACAAATACACAAAAAAAAAATTCAGTGTCGAAATTTTAGTGAGGCAATTGCCTCGCTTGCCTCAATGGTAGTTACGGCCTTGCATTCCTTAAATACAGTTGATAAATTTTTCATATATATATATATATATATATATATATATATATATATCATATAATTATTTCTTTGACTGCATCGTACGATCCTTTACGAAAGACAATTTAGCTAATCTGCAATCAATTCCATACCTATGTATCATGTACTGTGTTACAACTCTAGATTCTATTGACGAGGAAAGGTAACACTAGGCTACCGAAAGCTGAATTTTTAGTTGGCCGAGTGGTCCAGATCGCTGGACACAGTGCAGGCGGTGTTGTCTCGATATCCCAAAAGCATGAATTCGAATCCCGGCGAGGGAAGAACAATTTCGCAAATTTGCAGATTTAACATTATTGTGCGGATATTTAGAGTAATTACATATATATATATATATATATTTAATTTTGGATGTAACGCGTCTTCTGATTGGCTGACGTTGTTTTTTGTTATCAGCTCATAGACATAATTTTGTCATGTGACCGTGACCGCTTCAACGTTTTTTCATGGTTTACTACTGTTTAAATGGAACTTAGAATTAAATTATAAGAAATGACTGTAATATTTTTCTGTCTATTCGAAATAACATAAAAAATGTGGTGCACACTTTAAAATAACCCGCTACGCGAGTTATTCAGTGTGCACCACATTTTTTATGTTATTTCTTCATAGACAGAAAAAAAAATTACATTCATTCCTTGTATAATTTAATTTTGGATGTAACGCGTCTTCTGATTGGCTGACGTTGTTTTGTTTATCAGCTCATAGACATAATTTTGTCATGTGACCGTGACGTCATCAACGTTTTTTTACGGTTTACTCCGGTTTAAAATGGTATTTAGAATTAAATTATAAGAAATGACTGTAATATTTTTTCTGTCTATTCGAAATAACATTAAAAATGTGGTGCAAACTCTAAAATAACCCGCTGCGCGGGTTATTCAGTGTGTACCCCATTTTTGATGTTTTTTCTTCATAGACAGAAAAAATATTACAGTCATTCCTTAAATAATTTAGGGATGTCAACTCGGTGAAGATTTACTAATCGAGTACTCGTTAGATTTACATAGCGATATTCGAGTACTCGCTGGGAAAAACATCTACAAAATGCAAACACAAAATTATACCCATTTTACGTATTGTGGGTCGTTGTCTTATGGACGTAAAACCCACAACATTATTACAAAGGAATAGGTTAAGCCTCACAAATTTTATATCATAATTAAAAGCTCATTTACTGCATGCACTAATTATGTAAACTGGCAATAATCTAATCAATCAATTAACATACATCTACAGAAAAATTTTTACTCAAACAACTTTATTTGTGAATCGTTAAAGACACATTTTATGATCAACAAAGGGGTGATGATAAGAACTTATTGATGCCTTTAACCATTCTAGGGTCGACACAGGGTCAACGAATTTGTTCTTATTTAAAAATATCATCCTTTCAACTTTTTCTGAGACGAGTCTATTTCTCGACTTGGAAAGGTGCTCTTGTTCATAGATATAAGAAGATGTGGTATGAGTGCCAATGAGACAACTCTCCATCCATAGCCTGTATCTGTTGGAGGGAATTTTAAATGACAATTCAACGCAAACATTCGAAGCGTATTTTAATTTTGATTAATTTTTATTAATATATAATTTCCACGGAGGCGCTGTTAACAAAACTATTTTTTTCCTTAAGAAAGCAACAACATTCTAACAGAAACCGATCAGTCGAGTATCATTTTGGTATTCGATACTCGGTACTACCGAGCGATACTCGAGTACTCGAGTATTCGTTGACACCCCTAATATATATATACAACTCGTCTAAACATCAGCCCAACAAATTAGATCTGTAAATTTGCTTTCGCAAATTTTTTGTTCTTCCCTCGCCGGGATTCGAACTCATGCCTAGGTGGTCGTGTGGTCTAGCGCATCGGATACAGTGCAGGCGATTTGGTGTCACGATATCTCAGTAGCGTGAGTTCGAATCCCGGCGAGGGAAGAACAAAAAATTTGCGAAAGCAAATTTACAGATCTAACATTGTTGGGCTGATGTTTAGACGAGTTGTATATACAGAATGTACACAGCCATGTATCACCATCACTGCTGGTGATCCGATGGATAAATCTGCTGTAGAGTTGTCACTGGTTCAGATGTACTTATATATATATACAAGTCTAAATTGAAAACAACGTTCAAACCTATGATTGCGTTGGATAAAAACCGCTATTTTTATACGTGTGCATGCAAAACAAATTTCTTGGTAGAGGGGTCTATATATATGTGTGTGTGTGTGTAGGACTCTGAACCGCAATGGTGGCGCTGAAGTGCGTTTTTGATCATGCGGAAGTGCGTTTTTGATCATGCTGAAGTGCGTTTTTGATCACGCTGAAGTGCGATGGTGACATTGTGACGCTATCTTGTTGATAGCTAGTGCGTTGGTGGGAACGCTGAAGTGCGATGGACTACATAAACTATATTTTCAATGCTTTTGATGTCGTTGTAAAAGTCAAGATAGTTTTTTTTCGAGTTTTTAAGTTAAAAAGGGGCTTATAAACTTTCAATACTACGGGGAGTGGTTGGTGGAGAGGGAAAAGTTAACCTTCTGTAGCGGATTTTTTTTTTTTCGAAATCTTCAAAAGGTTCTTTTTTACGTGCGATTGAGCGTGACATTCTCTAAATACATAGGATTCAGCAGACATACTCTCCGTATTATAATATTACGGTAAACGAGGAACTCATGAAAGAAATCAAGTAAAGATTGAATTTTAAAGCAGAAAATCTAAGAGGACGATCCATCTCATTTAGTATGCAACTGTATCTATCATAACAACTGGTAGAGGACTCGAACCTTCTTTATAACAACAAAGGAAGAGACGATGCAAACGACCTTGAAGAAATTTTCAATACCACAGGTGGAGACAGAAATTTATCAATATCAACCACGAGGAGTATAACAACTGCTGCTACGAGTTTAAACTATCACAAAAATATTTCAGTAAACGGATAGTACACAAATAGAAGACAAACAGTACTATACACCAATTTCTAAGAATTTATCTATGTGATGTTAGGAACAATATCATACCAGCCAATCGCTACTAGAGAGATAGCAACTACAGAACCTCAATTCAGTGAGCCCGAATCTCAAAACGAAATTATGTTTTACCATAAAGATTCGTCCTATTCTTACAGAGACAGATACAATCAGTTACCAATACACAACTGTGTGACTACCCGAAGGATAAAACAGAAGTGACTATTAAATCACGCACGAACAATATTACATTTTCTAGCAAAAGTTGCAATATTATCTATGGACAGTAATTTAATTCGTATATATTTGTATTCACATGTACGGTAAGATTGTTGCTTTTACTATATTTCTCTCTCTACTAAAACACTAGTTAAAAAGAATAAAAGAAAAACACTTAAAATAAGTA